GTTTAATGTCTTCTCCAGGAGGCTGGGTGTAGTTCTATTGGAATGGAGTATATAAAACTTGACTGACAGATAAGGAATTCCATGGTCTCAAAAAGCCATTTATAAAACTTGTAGAAGAATAATGCATATAAAATTAAGTCTTATGATTATAAGAAAAATATCATTTCTAGAATCAAGAATTATGGAACCAAATTAATACTTAAAACATAAAATAAGGAAATAACATAAATAATTTCCTTACTTTTTATTATATTATTAAACTTGTATGTAGTACAATTCCCAAAAGCTCTGGTATCCAGAAAAGTGGGACAGTTGCAACTGGAATTGTTTAGAACTTTGGATCCAGAGGAAAACAAGTGAGCCTAGATTCCTGTATATAGAGATTCAATTCATGTATAAGCTGAACTTTAAGCTGAGGAGTTCTTCTGGTTCTGCAAAGTCTCTGTTGTGAGCCAGTAACACTTGATGATGCTCTCCATCAAGATCAACTCCTGTATTTTTTTAGCAGTTTATCCAGGCACCTTTTTATTGCTATAAATCTGCAGATACATCCTGAGTATAATCCTATACTTTGTCTTTTTCAGAAGGGTATCCTCCGAGAGAGAGATGAAAATTCAGTAACAAGCTATGTTCTATACAGAACCTATATAGAATATGACAGCAGCATATTAGTATAATGATTCCAGTAATTCAGCATCAGATCAGTGTACATGAATAATTTTTGTTTAAAATTTACATTGTTCATTTCAGGACTCAAAAGCTTACTATCATCTTTTGAATCAAATTGCACCCAAACAAGGCAACAATGGAAAAACAGCCATTGTGATTGATCTTTCAGGCTTTAATGTAAGTGTTCCATTAAACCTTTCAGATTACAAACGCTGGCTAGGTTGGAGAACCAAGTTATAGCATTGAGACTGAAAAATTTCCCAAACAGACATGTAAATTTGAAAAAGACATGGCTGCTTATTCAAACATTATGCTTTGAATGTGTTTCCATACGTTTAGAGGCACCTGTTTCGAAACATTTGTAAAACCTTAACAATCCCTTAACAAGTAGAAAATGAGAAAATAAACGCAGGGGTGTCAAACTGCCGGCCCATGGGCCGGAGGTGTCACAAGGAAACCACGCCCACCCCATTGCCGGCAATGGGGGAAAAGCTCCAATACATCATGCGACATCACGTGATGTCGCAAGTTTGACATATCTTAAATAAAGGAAAACAAAACAGATAGTATTTTCAGAAGAACTCTTCTAGGAATATAACAGCAAAGCATGTTACCTTTTTCACCATTGTATAGGCTGCTTTTCTTTTTTCATAATATATTCTTGATTACCGTATTGTGTTTGCCTAGTCAGAGTCTGTTCTTGGAGATTATATAAGAAACCTCTGAGAATGTTATTTTGTGTTTAATGAAAACAATTGTTTCCTTTAGATTTTCTGATGGAAGAGTATGGTGAACTACTATAACTGATCCAAAGCAGATTCTAAATGCATTTAAATGCAATCAGGAATTCTGCAAAACCAGGATTTCTGGTTTGCTTCTGTAACTAGAATTTTATGTCTAATGCAAACTTGGGTGCATATATTTTATTTTAAATTTGCAATTTATTTTTCCCCAGGAACCAAATGATCTGAGGAGGGCTGAATATATGCTTCAACAAGCAGATAAATTGGGTTGCAAACAGTTTGTGACTCCTACAGATGTGGTTGCAGGCAACCCTAAACTTAATATAGCCTTTGTTGCAAACCTCTTTAATACTTACCCTGCCCTACAGAAGCCTAAAAACAATTCTTATGATTTCAATTTATTAGAAGGTAAGTAACTTCAACACATATTAATAGAGATATTAGAGAAATATTTGTTTTTGGTTGTTTATTATTTCTTAATTTAAATAATCTAATGGGGATATTGTTTCCTGTTTGTTTAATAGTGTACTTGCCTGCTGCCTCTTCCTTAATGTCTTAGGACAGCTTAGAGCAATACAATTAAAACGGCAACAGTTTAGTTAAAACAAATGCTAAACCAGATTAAAAGATTTGACTATGATTTGAGCTTCTTTCTAAATCCTAAGGAGAGTGAAGTATTGCCAAATTCTAGCCAGCTGAGTTTCTGGACTGTCTTCAAAACCATTCCATAAAGACAACTGCAGTCTTTGGTTGTCAGTGTACAAGCTTTTCTTCTTCACTTATGGACATGATTTATCAACCAAAGTCGATAAAAGCATATTTTTATTTTATTAATGGTCCAGGATTTAATGCTGGATTCAAAAGGGACTCCCAGATTGCAAATCTGATCCTTAATGGAAAATGTACATTTTTCCAGAGCAGGCATTTTCCCCAAATCCTGAAGTCCACCTTCTGTATCAGTAACAACTCCATCTTGTCTGTGAAAAGTTTCTCTGACATCAAGTCCCTTGTTCTCTAACATAAATGATATTATTTCACTTGAAAGTTTAGTTCACAGTGTTTTCTCCAACCATGCTCCCACCCATATAATTTTACATGAATTTGGAGTCACACACAAAGACCTATAAATCTAATTGCAAAAGTTAAGAATGGAAAAGATTCCCCCAATACAGGTAGTCCTCAATTTACAATCATTCCTTTAGTGATCATTTGAAGTTACAATGGCACTAAAAAGTGATTTATGATTGTTTTTTACTTATGACAATTGCAGCATCCATTTGGCAACTGACATGTATTTATGATAGTTGCAGTATTCGGGGCTCATATGACCTCACAAAGTCAATGGGGAGGTGAGATTTACTTAACCACCAAATTACTAACTTAGTTGCAGTGATTCACTTAACAACTGTCTAAAAGGATGTAAAAAGGGGCAAAACTCATTTAATAATTCTGTTGCTTAGCAATGGAAATTTTGGTCTCTATTGTCATAAGGGAAGGACAACCTGTATAATTGAAGTTCCTCTGCTTTTTTGAATGTAAGAAATACCTATTTCTGGAGATAGGGTATATGGATGGGGAGGAGTTCCAATTACATCAAGATCTTGGATCTTAAAGTGTTTTTTAGGAGTTAAGCACACTCAAATACTGAAATTAAGCTAGTGCTCATAATCTTGTGTTTCATAACTTTCCAATCTTTCTTCAAAAATGCAGATTTGACTCCTCCTACTGTAGGTACTGTATTTAGTTGAGGCTTTTGGCTTGTCAAAGTATATTTTGAAATCTGTTTTCCCTTTCATTCTATTACTGTTATGACTGCCCTCTTTGTATCTGTCCTGCTTTTATGACCTGTTGTTTTTCTTTTAATATGCCATTACAGCTGTGTAAAAATATTAGTATTAGACATTTATTTTAAAGTCATATAAAATGCCAGCTTAACTTTACTTGATTACATAATTGAGTTCTTGGGAGTCATGATATGAAACCTCACAAATGTGAATGAAAAGATCAAGTTGTTAAGAGTGAAAATTCTGTTCCCTAAATTCAACTATTTGTTCAAGGCATGTATCCAAAACAGTTTTCTGCCTTAGGCTTATAAAAGAAAATTATGGAGAAAAAAACAAGGCAAATATAAAAAAATAAACATAGTTTTTTAAGATTTATAGTAATTATCACAGTTGTAATAAAGTTAGAAGTTGCTAGTAGTGTTATCACTATGAACTGGATTGGAAACATTTCAAAGACAGACAGAATAATATGGCATTCTATATTCCTCATAGCATAGCATATTGAAATGGTTGCTGGATAATTCTTGAAAACACAAGGGCTTTCCCCTCACATATCTGCAGTCCGTGGCAGAAATTTAAGCTGATATAATTTGTGCCATCCCATCAGATAAGTCCTATTTTGTGTGATAAGGCTGAGATTAGGTGCTGTTCTTATAGTTTTACAGGTAGTCCTCAGTTAAGCAGAATTTGGATCACATTTTCCATCACTAAGCAATTTGGTCAAAAAACGTGATATCACGTGATTGCTTAGCCACAGTAATCCTCTTAGTACCCATTGCCATCATTAAACAAATCCTACCCAGTCCTTAGGCAAGGACCCATCCCAATCCAAACCATTGCTGGGTTGGTACTTCCCAGCTCTGAGCCTCAGTAAGCATGGGTAAGACTGCCTCCTTTTGAACTCCATTCAGCTGCCTGTCTCCCCCCATCTCTATAATTTTGGCCCCCAACACTCTGCCAACTCTGCCACCCTGCACTCTACTGGCCTCCTCAGCAGCAGGAGGAAAAAACAGCAAATATCAACTGGGAGTGGCAGGGCCAGCAGAGCACAGGTTGCCAGAACTGATGGAGCAAGGTTGTGAGGGGATGCGTGAGAGGCACCATGCAGGTCAGTATGGCTATGGCAAGAAGCAGGGTACAGGTCTAGGAAGATACAAGAGAGGTGTTGTTCAGGTCTGCAAGGATGCCCAAGAGGTGCCACACAGTTGAGAGGGTGCCAGCCAGTACACGTGCAGTGGGGCTGGGGGAGGATGTGCAGGTGGGTGACATACCCAGTGACTTGACTTTCTGGGAAAACCAGCAGGAAAGATTGCAGATGACATGATTTCAGGAAGCTTGGTAAGCAGTTGTAATGGTGAACTGGTTGCCAATTACCCAGGTTGACATCATGTGACAATTACCCAGGTTGACATCATGTGACAAGTCCAATGGAACTCCAAGGACTGGTTGTAACTACCATTGGTTCAAATGCTGTCTTAACTTGGAAATATCTCTGGCCATGCAGGGATAGTTTGAGGACTACCTGTAATTCCATTTTAATTTTATTATAAAATATTCAAATATTAGAAATAATACAATAAGAGTAAAAGATAGACAAAATGAATTGTGTTTTGATTGGCAGTACTGAGAGCTGCATGGCTATAAAACCCAATGGAGAAATATATCTTATCCTCAATACAGTCATGATTAAAGATGGATAGATTTATTTTCCTTGCAAAATGAATTTGAAGTTAGTCCTATTTTGATGACCAAAATTAAATATTCAGCATTTTTCTATTTTGAGAAAGTGAAAAATAATCAGCATGTTTGATCATATCCGTTTCTGATCTCTATGTATGCCTATTGCTGCCCAACATTGCGATTACAGAAGAAAAGTGCCACAAGGCATGTTATTACCATGTTCCAGTTTGTGTTGGTTATCTATTATTCATATCTATCCCACAGAAAGCAAACGCGTGAACAAGAATGAAAGTTATAGTGATAGTGGGTGGTAATGAAGAAGTTTAAGAATTTTATTTTAGAGTGGCATATTAAATATAACCTTTTTTTTACTTTCACAGTTCTTTCAATCAGAATTGATTTTTTCAGCTTGCATGTTATTTTCTGCATTATTTAGCATGAAGTTTTAATTTTTATTGTGAATTTGCCAAATGTACTCTTTAGCATCCCTTCTTTCTATAACCAATTTTCTTGGAAGCATGTTAATTCACTCTGAAGTATTCAGAATATATTTCAGTTACAGATTGAAATACCTTTTGAAACAAACCTTAATAATTAATCCCAAAAGGGATTATAGTGCCAATTTATATAATAAGATTAGTGAATAAGCAATTGGATAACATTTCACATATATATATTTCTCAACATATATATATGAAATAATGACACAATTAATGCATGATTTTAATGAGAACTGGTACACTGTGAAGAAATGTCAAATAATGAAGGCTGCAAAAGAAAATATAGATTTTTCCTGAACTGTGCCAGTTACCAATCCTATTGGCCAGTATTATAGGCAGCTGAAATGGGCTTTGACTAGATCTAGTCATATAGACCCCAAACATGCAATTTGATGGTTTTTTTTTTTTTTTGCTATTACTGTGCTCTAAGTATTTTTGCACAGTAAGTATCCTTTTTATAGTTTGATTTAATTCAGATTTGTTTATTCTTCACCCATTTATATATCTTTCCACTTTATGATAGCATTTCTTTCTCCTGCTTTGTGATATCATACCTTCTATATGGGATTCAATAGTTTTAAAAACAGACCAAAAATCAGAATATAATTAAATTATCATCTTTGTACTGTAGGTGAAAGTAAGGAAGAAAGAACATTTAGAAATTGGATGAATTCATTGGGTGTAACTCCTTATATTAATCACTTATACAGGTAAAAAAATAAATCCTTATGTAGTTTTTACCCTGAGCAAACCTTGCTCAGATAAAGTATGCTGAAATATACCAATGCTCTTAAGTGTTTTAGATTGTTCCTTTGTTTCAAGGTTTGATATAAAATTATACGTGGTAATGCAGTAGTACCAACTTCAGTCACCATTTTTCCTAGTACACCTGTGCTGATTCATTTAAGCTTATTTGAATTAATGCTTATTTTATATCTGCATCCAAGGGGCAAGGTGGGCAGTATTATTTTTAGGTATATTGACGATTTGAATATGACCCTAAAGATATTGGAGAATTGAACTGGTGGCTAGAATGCAAAGTTGATTTTTTTTTTACAGACAACTATCAATTCTAGGAGCAATTTGAGAGCCTACATTGCATGTTCTTTCTGATATACCTCTTGAATAAGTATTGTTTCAATACAGTACTATTTTATAATGAAATAAAGATGGTAATAGTTTATTATTATATTACATTTCATTGGATTCCCCCTAAATGTAATAATGATAATTCAATATGGAACAGTTCAAATCTGTTGTCCCTGAGGAAGTAGAAAGGATCCATATGACCACTTGCTCATGAAACTCATGCACCCCCATAATTGGCTAAGACTGCTGGGTGGGGGGAGGAGTGATATGTGAATGAGTTTTTGTTGGGGTGAATTTATCCTTGAGGTGGGTTTTTTTCTTCACCTCTTAAGGAAGTGTTGATTTGCCCCCTCCTAAAGTCATCATCACTGGATCCCACTGTACAGGACAACCTCCAGCCAGTGTCACACCTCCCTGTTTTAGGGAAACTCATGGCGGTGGTGATCACACAGCAGGTTCAGTCAGGATCCAGACCTGGACGTGTTTCTGGATACAGAAACAACATTGATTTGGATGATCTCTGATGGGATCAGGTGGAGGTAGGGCATCCATCCTGGCTCTTCTTGCCTTCTCAACGACTTTCAATACCATTAATCATAGTATCTTTCTGGATGAGCTTCAATTATTGGGGGTGGCACAATATTGGGCTGGTTCTCTTCCTTCCTATGGGGCCAGCATTAGTTGGTATTGATTGGCAGTGAAAGGCTCTGCCCATGACCCTTGCAAAATTCAGAGCTTTCCCGCCTTCCTATTTAACATCTACATGAAATTGCTCAGTGAGATCATTTGTTGCCATGGGATTATTATATATCTCTGTGACCCTGGTAAATTAAGCAGTGCTGTTGATGTCTTGTCTTGGTGCCTGGAGGCTGCGAAACTGAATGGGGAACAATAAAACTAAATTGTTTTGGGTCTTCAGGATCTGGTATTTTACCATCTTTGGTGCTAGATGGGGTGGCACTGGTCCAGACAGACCCAGTGTGCAATCTGGGGTTCTTTCTACTTTCAAGACTTCTGCTTGAGGAGTAGATACAGGCTAGTTGGGCCTTTACACAAATTTCTGTTGTGTGCCAGTTGTATTTGTTCAGAAACCATGAAGTTCTGCTCACCTCCCAAATAAAGTACTTAAATATGCTCTACATGAGGCTGTCTTTGAAAAGTATTTAAAAGCTTCAGCTGGTGCAAAATGCAGTGGTATGATAAAGTTACCTTTATACGGTTTCCTGCTTGAGCAGGGGATTGGACTAGAAGACTTCCAAGGTCTATTCCAATTCTGTTATTGTGTTATGTGTGCCCTTAGGACACGGGTATCAAACTTGCCGCGTCACGTGACATGTCACAACGTATCGTGACTTTTTTTGCATTGCCGGAGCTGGGGTGGGTGCGGCCTCTGTATGATGCAACCGGTCCGCAGGCCGGCAGTTTGACACCCCTGCCTTAGGCGAACACACACACCTCCATGATTTGCATTGATTATTAGTTCACTTCCAGATAGAATTCAAGATGCTGTTTTTGACCTTTAAAGCCCTATGTGGCATTAGGACAGGTTGAGGTATTGCCTCTCCCCAATTACATCTTGTCCCATTATGTGCTATCCCACTTACTCATATGTACACATAACAGTGGTATAGAGCATGGGTGTCAAACTCATCGCATCATGTGATGTGTCACGACCTATAATAATAATAATAAAGTTGGAAGGGACCTTGGAGGTCATCAAGTCCAACCTCCTGCTCAGGCAGGTAACCCTATACCATTTCGGCTGTCCAGTTTCTTCTTAAAAACTTCCAGTGGTGGAGCATTCACCACTTCTGGAGGCAGGTTGTTCCACTGGTTAATTGTTCTAACTATCAGGAAGTTTCTCCTTAGTTCTAGGTTGCTTCTCTCCTTGATTAGTTTCCATCCGTTGCTTCTTGTCCTGCCTTCAGGCGCTTTGGAAAATAGCTTGACTCCCTCTTCTCTGTGGCAGCTCCTGAGATATTGGAACATTGCTATCTATTGTGACTTTTTTCACATTGCTGGAGCTGGGATGGGCAGGGCCTCCACATGATGCAACCAGCCCGTGGGCCAGCAGTTTGACATCCTTGGTTTAGAGAGTTTATTAATATTCCCTAGCAATTCCCTTCACCAAAAGCCCAGAACTGTCTCAATGAAATCCAGCCAAAAGCAGACTGATGTTAATTCAAAGAGCAATGGCCAATGAATCCATAAGGCACTTGAAAGTTTCCCAAACAAGATAAAAACACCAGGCAAAATTAAATCCACAATTCAAGAGGGTTCACAAGGCAAGAAAAGTTTAGCATTCACAAGCACAATCCAAGTTAAGGCACGGTGTCAATCNTTTTGCTGCCTGACTTTTCTCTATCCTATGTGTTCTCAGATCAGTTCCTCAGATCAGATCAAGCAGTTCCTCTTCCTCATCAAATTGGCTGCAGCTGCATGCTTTCCCCACCTGAAGCCTCAGGGCTGTCCTGCTGCAGCTGTGCTTCAACCAAATCTCTTTCAGATGGCTGCTTGGAGTCATTGACCAATTCCAATTAAGTGAAAAGATACTTTGATACTTTGTGTAATCTGGTGTGCTAATTTATCATTTTGTATTCAAAAATCTCACAATATAGGAGATTTGTATTTTAGTCTGGCAAAAATTTATTAATGTAGCCCTATAATAAAGTACAATTAACTAATCTTGTGTGTCCTACTCTTTGGGAGTGATGTCAGTCTGGGAGGCTGATAAGGGATCTCCTGGCAGCAGGGAGCCCACACATTGGTTGCACCATGTATAACATTCTGATTTTAACTTTCTTGAAATCTTATTCTTCTTTATGCTTAATTATTTAAGTGTTTACGTGGTTTTAAAATAAGGTTTATTTGTTTCATAGTATGCCACCCAAAGTTACCCTGTGTGAGATGGGCAGCTGTATAAATGTGATAAGTAACAATATATTACAATATGTGTTATTGTTACAGTATATTGTGAGATTTTTGAATACAAAATGTTAAATTAGCATACCAGATTACACAAAGTATCAAGATCTGAAAATCAAAATTGAAAGATTATGGCATAAATCATCCATAGTGGTCCCATTGGTTATCAGCACAAATCTTGGATGGCATTTAGAAAATCTGTGCATTCCACCTATTACTTACAAAGTATACATTGCTTGGATCTACTATGCCAATATATTATGACATTCTAAGTTCTTGGAAAGAACTCGTTGTGCATGAAGGCCAACACCAGCTAAAGAACTGGAAGCTCTGAATTCACATTTTTGTGTACACAATAATAATTGGAAGATCTGCAAGTAATATCATTTGTCTGCAAACAAGAACTGGTGGGAACATAGAGAAATAGAAAATGAAGGATTTAAAGTGCTCTGGGACTTTAGAATTCAAACTGACAGACACTTGTCACATAATATCCCATACTTAATTGTCAATAACAAAGACAAAGTCTTAGTAATGGACATGGCAATATCTGGAGACAAGAGAATAGAAGAAAAACAACTGGAGAAGATAACAAAATACAAAGACCTGCAAACAGAAATAGAACAATTATGGCAAAAGAAAGCTAAGGTAGTACGTAATAGCTGCCTTAAATGCAATCTTAAAACAATTGAAGCATCACTTGAACACCATCAGCATTGACAAATTCCTCATCAGTCAATTGCAAAAGGCAGCTTTACTTGGAACAGCTTACATTATGCAATGATACCACTAAAACCGTTAAACATCCACATCTGCCTATCCCATGTCCCTGGGAAGGACTTGATAGGTGGATAAAAATGCCAAATCCAGTGTAAACATCTGGCTGACTGCAACCAATCACAATAATTAAAATAGTCTTGTGAGTTGTAATGGTTTTAATGAATAATTTAAATGGGAAATTTCAAAAACATAGAAGCAGTGAAAATATCTGTTTTCTGATTAATTAAAGGATAATTGTTTTGCTTTTAATCAGAAGAACTTTTTTTCTCCCTCACCTTGCCAGTGATCTTGCTGATGGTTTAGTAATCTTTCAACTCTATGAAATGGTCCGTGTACCTGTAGAATGGAGTCATGTCAACAAACCACCATATCCTGCACTTGGGGGTAACATGAAAAAGGTTGGTAAATATTTCTGTGTTAGGAACTCTGGTACCTATATAATCACCACTAATTTATATTCGTCTATCTCAGTTACAAGCAAACATAGTAGAGATAGATAGCATATGTATAAATTAATATATCTACTGATAATTTTTATGGTTCTATTTGTGATTCACAAAGCCAAGTAGAAATTTGTAACTTAATTTTGAAACTAAGCACTGAAGTACCTTCCATGTTACTATTTGGCTAATATCCAAGCATTGACATATGAACAATAGACCACCACCACCACTAATAACATGGATATCAGCAAAAGCAGTGTACAGTAAAGACATGTTTAGTGATACAACATCAGGTGGCTGACTGATGAGAGATCTCAGGATATAATCTACATAGCCATAAATAAGATTTAAAAAGAGAAGCTTAAATTACTCTTTGATCAATAACAAAGTATTTTATATATTGTTCACATACAGTGCTGGGATTTTCTTTATTAGCATATCATAATGCAAATATATACTGTTAAAAAGTCTACAGGCAAACCAGAGCTCTGGCAACGTTTCCACTATTTTTCATAATCATTTAAAAACCTTACAGGAAAGCTAAAGAGCAATTGCCAATCGTACATATTCATCACCAGTTTTGAACATCTTACTTAATAATGTCACATGCCAAATTTATTATTTTCAAATAGATACCTCTGGGAAATAAAGAATTTTTATGCATTCCGCAGCAGAAACATGCCTCTACTTTAATGTAAACTTAAATCATTTGGATTTCTGAGACATAGCAAATGTGAGGGCAGAATTGCATAACAAAATATAGCGATTTAATCTAAAGAATTAATTAGAAACTAAATACTAATGTCTCCTTGTGGGACTTCCTATATGTTTGGCAAATCCAAATGATACCTTATTCAAAATGTTTTCTAACTGAATACATCAAAGAAAGTAAAAATGTGCATTCCTTGAGGTATTTTTTTTCCTTCAAAAAGTTTCAGGTCAAAATATCTGCTTTTAAAAAATCTGGATAATAACTGTGATTTGTATCTATAATCAAATGTTTTTAGATTGAAAATTGTAACTATGCAGTAGAACTGGGAAAGACAAAGGCCAGATTTTCATTGGTTGGAATTGGTGGAAAAGATCTCAACGAAGGCAACTCAACCTTGACCTTGGCACTAGTCTGGCAATTAATGAGAAGGTGAGGCTTTCTTACATCTCACTAAATCCAGTGGTTTAACTAGGCTGTATTTATATCCAGCCTTTATTATTTTTATAAATAACTCAGAAGTGGTGAACATACCTAATACTCCTTCCTTCTCCTATTTTTCCCCACAAAAGAAAAAAAACCCCAGATCTATGTGGTAGGTTGGGCTGAGAAAGCGTGACTGGCCCAAAGTCCCCCAGGCTTTCATGCCTAAGGCAGGACTAGAACTCGCAGTCTCCTGGTTTTTATCCTAAGCCCTTAACCACTAGACCAGAACTTTTTCTATAAGTGTTCTTCATTTATTCAATCAGCAGTTTAAAATCCAGATGATAACTCTAGGTTTTCCCCCCACTTTTTATCATTTATGCCTTTTTCAAAATGTACAATAAATATGCAGTACGCTGCTTTGCATGTCTGCCATGTTACAAAGGAGTTATAAGTTTGTAAAAATAGTTGCAACCTAGAAAACCATACATATATCTATATACTGCTAAAATTCTCATGTCTGTTTAATTGTTTGTAATCTTCAATTGGGCAAATGGTGCATCATAGGGCAATAATTTTTGAATCAGTGTAGTTCAAATGGTCTAACTTAAAAAATCCTCCAAAATCCAGGACACATGATTGCTGTGGGATTGAAATGTGGCAAAATTGTGGGCACTCCAGTGCTGTCACTACAGGTAGTCAACAACTTATGATAATTCCTTTAGCATTGTTCTAAATTAAAATGGCACTGAATAAAAGGACTTACCATTTGTACCCGATGTAGCACCCCTATGATCACATGAACAAAATTCATCTTTACAACCAACTGCAGGGATGCTGCAGCACCACCACCCCCAAGTTATCTTTCTCCCATTCCACACCATTGGGTCCCTTAGAGCTATCTTCTACCTGACTTTGATATAAATCAGAGATAGCCTTCAGGAAGAATTGATCTGCCTCAGAATCTTGGGGCAATTCTCTGATATCAGAGCCTGGATTTCTTGACCATGTAAAAGTTTTCAAAGACTTTATATAAAAGAGCTCCTGCTGAAAATTCTTCCCTCCCCAATTATCACAATTTACACATAGTAGTCTATCTCAGCAAGCAATCTTAGTAGACACAACTTAATAGCAGATTCTGTCTTTGTATATAGTAACTGTTTTAATAATTACATTTGCAACAATAAAACTAATACAAACTAAAGAAAAAATAAAAATAGAAAGTGCTAAAAATAAAAATAGAAAAAAAACAGAAAAGGAAAAATATTCTGAATATGAATATAGGAGAGAGAAAAAAGAAATATATATGTAATTTCCTCCTTCATCAAAACAAGTATAAACAATTTTAGTAACTTGCCACCTTTTTTAAAAATACAACTAATTATCTCTTCTTCCCATATCCCATCTCTTACCTATAAATAAATCCTTGAGCTTCATCATTTCAGTCTTCATCATTTTCAGCTACCAGATATAACATATCTAAAATATTTATTTAATCTTGATTAAATAAACCAACTTTATATTCTTTTTTCTTTTTAACAATCTTGATTTTTGGTGCCTTTAAAGAATGTCCTAGAACTTTATTTCTTTTCATTTTTCTTTGTCTTTTCTCACAAAATTCCTGAAAACTTTAACAAGACTCTTTTGGAAATCCAATATTGGAAAATTATTCAGGTCAATCTGTTGGTTTGTAATTTGTATATTCCTTTAATCATCAAGACATCAGCCAGTTACTTTTATATGTCCAGTGTTACATCTTTTCCCATGTCATTCTTGTAGCTTGTCATTTTTAGATTCATTTTCAGATAGTCTGACTCTTGTCAGGTAACACTTGTTCTTTCATACTATCTTTTAAACACAATCTATAGAGGCAGACACTGTTAAAATTAATTTTGGGGCCCACTGTTCAAAAATATCCTTCAGTATGTCCAATGTTGAAATATTTTGCTCAAAATATTTGGATATATATGCAGAACTGCTACCATCTGCATACTGTACTCCACATTAGTATTTTCCCAGCATTTAAATAAATGCTAGATAAAATGGAGGAGAAAGTTGAGATCTGAGGAAAAGATTGGGTGAAAGAGATTGGCAGTGAATTTCCAGTCCCACATACACTACAAGAGTTTATTTCCATCTTTCTCCATAATTCCTTCTGCCCATCAGCACAGGACTCCTCCATCAGTCCAAGCAACTTTGAGTTTGCATCTGCATACTAGCATCTCTCACAAGATCATGGAGATGCTGTAACACTTGTAAGTGCAAGGACCAGTTGTAAGTCACTTTTTTAGCACTGTTGTAACTTTGAATGGTCATAAATCAAGGAACATTACCAGTTACATATACTATCTATTACAGGTTTACTCTGAATGTACTATCAGACCTTGGAGAAGGGGAGAAAGTAAATGATGAAACTATTATTAAATGGGTGAATCAAACTCTTGCAAATGCAAATAAGACCACTTCAATATCTAGCTTCAAGGTAATAAGACTATCAAATAAAGGGAATATTATATTAATTACATAGAGAAAACCTGGATGAGAATGAATTTGTAGCAAAAATACAACACTTTTTAAAAATGCTTAAAATACTAGATTTTAAAATATAAAAACAGATGAGATTCTGGATAACTATATGTGCATATATATTACTATCTTTGTCATGGGCCATCATATCTATTTTTCTGTAGAACTAGATGAAAAATATTTTTGTGGAAGGAATGAGGAAATTATACATGATGATTAAAAACAGAGGAAGAACCTTCTATCAAAGAGTAAAATTTTGTACCTATGTTACAGTTGTTGTATCATAGTCAAATACATACAGAGGCAGTTTATGCATCATAAAAGTATTAAAAGTAACAAAAGTATTCTTCAGAGAAAGCATTTTTATCATAAATATTTTGAGAACAACCAATTTATATCAAAAACTTTGTAAAAATATCTTCAAATATTCATTTACCAACAGATCCTTGAGTTTTAATATTATTTTCTCATGCAAACTGAAGTAATGTTACTTCAATTCAATTTTTATTTCCATCTACACATTAAATTTTGCCACACCTTCAATCAGCCTTAAACAAGTACAGTATTCTAAAGTGCATACTGATCATGGAAACACCAGCAATACTATAGAAAATAGTTTTATGACCAGTTAGCCAAAATGTTTTTCAGAAATCCCGCTTTCCTTTGCCATTTTTTATCTCAACAATGGAGTACAAGAGATACACTTAAGAAAAATAGGGACAGCAGAGTTACAACAGGCCAACGTGATCTATAATTAGAACGAAAATTATATATCCAATCACTGTATTAAGAAACATCAATTTAGTAGCTCAAAAGGAATAGTAAAATACTGCTTTCAGATAATACAGTGTTCATGATGGAACTTAAAAAGAATGAGCCAATCTTGAAACCATAGCTTTAATCTCCTGGGTAAGAAAAGCATGGTGAAACTCTTAAAGCAGAGCTAATTACATCATTCTAGGGCACCTCCTGCTGATAACTTGATGTCATGGATAAGAACACTCATCCGCTTGAGCTGTTAAAAGGATGCTGAATACAGCAATACCACCTGCTATTTTAAGACAGAAGTACATCTTAGAATCCCAGGAATAAAATGTAATAGCCATTGATCATCTCATAAAGAGATTCCACAAAGAATCAGAGTACTATATACTATTTATAAGCATGTAGAAGGAAATAGTAATCGAGTAGCCATTTATTTTTAATTTAATACAAATATCTTGCACAATTGTCCTATTTGCATATGTAACAACAGTACTTAGAACATATGTTCTAAGGTTGGAAGGGATCTTGGAGGCCTTCTAATCCAACCCCCTATTCGAGCAGGAGATCCTATACCATGCTTATGCTTGGTTTAACCAAACTACATTCCAAGCAGCAGAACAACTATTTTTAGATTTCCATAGATATTGTGGAATACTGGATGTGCTTCAACAAACACTTTCATGTTTTTATGTTTCTTTCATGTATGCAGCATAGCTAACAGGAACTGAAGGGTGTACATTGCCATCGTGTTAAAAAGAAATGTCTATAAAACGGTACATGGTACATTAATTACAAGTTATTTTTGTGATTAGGAGACAAAAATCTATAAGATATACTCAAAAGTGTTCAGGAAGCAAAACCTTTGAGGTCCAAAGAAACATGTTGAGGACTTTTTGTTTGATGTATCATGGGCAATAACTGGATAAAAGAGAAAAGGATATGACAAACCAAATTAAAGATGACAAGTTATGATAACAGAAAATAATTAATTATTGATAACTAATACTTTAATGTATTTTGTTTCAGGACCAATCTATAAGCACTAGTTTGCCAATATTAGATTTAATAGATGCTATCGCACCAAAAGCAGTCCGCCCAGAAATGGTCAAGAGAGAAGATCTAACACCAACAGACAAGCTAAATAATGCTAAGTAAGTCCTTGCAGCATATTTCAGAAGACTATCGTGTTGAATGAAAGCAACAAGCAATCCTTTAAAGTGCCATAGTTTATAGAATCATGGCATTTTAAAGAATAATGTTTTAGTATAGGCTAACTTTATTAAGTTTCAAATGGGAGAAATGTACAAAATCTAAATCTTTCAATTGTTATGATTATTGATGTTATAGTAGTGATAGTAATTAAATTTATTATGCTTGCCTGCTCTAAAATAATCTAGGCTGTGTAGAACATATTAAAATATATTAAAACATATTAGCAGAACATATTAACAATAAAACAGTTAAAACATGACAATACATAATATCCCAGTCAAAACAGCCATATCAAACTAAAGTACAACAGAGGCTCCACAATCAAACCCAAGGCTGGAAATATTTCATGCATCTAACAAAGTATATTAAACCTGGGAAACATATCCTTCTTCAATGACTAGTCCTCACTGGAAAAAGATTTGCATTAGACATAATGATGCAACATTCTTTACTTCTGCAAAGAATAGAATCCCAGTCAATAGACTACATGCAGCATGACATTTTTGACATAAATCAAATGATATTTAATAGTAGATTTAGAAATAATATCTAAGTAGGACCATTGTAATTGTAATGAGTTGCATTATAGTTGCATTAATCCAGCAGCCCCCAACCTTTTGGGTACCAGGGACTGGTTCCATGGAGAAAGGGTTTTCTGTGGACTGTAGGGGGAGTGGTTTTGCATGCTGCCTGCATTCCACAGATGGGGTTTCGTTTGTTTGCCTGGTCCATGGCATGGCAGCAACCAGCAACCCCCTGTTCTAATGTATCTGTAATGAGTCACATTAAAGATGTTCTACATTGATGTCAGTCCACTAAAGTAGTAACATCTTTTTATAGATTTATGTGGAAGCCTGAAAAATAAATATGCATGATTTAGCAGCAGTCCTCACAAGAAGACTGAAGCACTTTTTAAAAAAATCATTTTTGAACTGTGTTCAGCCTTAATCTACAATACGGGGTAATTGAATTTGTTTGTGTCAGAAGCATCACAATCAAACTAAGGCATACTATATGAAATAAAATTTAAAATATAAAACATAAAAGTTAAAATATAAACATTGAAGTAAACTAGGATTATTATTTATGGTTAGTATGTTAATTACACCAAGCTCTAATGTCCCTCTTTTACAAACTCAATTGAAAAACAAAATTGCTTTCCTGAATCAATATCTGGGATCTGAGATAATGTATACCATGATGGTTAAATGTACACTCAATAAAACTGAATTCATAAAGTTGTTACTAGGCAGATAGTTTTGGAAATATCTGTTATTATGAATGTGGCCATACTCTTTCTAAAATACTTTGTCTGTGACTGGAAACACTTCTGAATCATAGTGGCCTGATAGGGAGTTTTTCGAATCCCTGTATGTGAGCTGTAGATATTACTGGAATACCCAAGTCTTGCTATTGTCACTAGGTTTTTGCAATTTAGAGATTAGATTATAATAGGGTCTGCACAATGCTATCCTTGAAAGCTGTCTGAAAATGACAACTGAATATCTACACAGTCTTCTCTCTCAAATGTATTTTCAGCATTTATATAAGCTGAAGAGTGGATTGTAGAGTCTGTTATCTTTTACTGTCATTTTGTATAACAAACTTCCAGGCTATTTTCAAAGGCAGTTTCAATGAGAATTGATGCAGGCATGCATCTTTGATGTTCCCTGTCATGATAAATCAGTATGGTCTCATTATCCTTTTTAAAGCAACAAAGTGTTTGTTTTCTTAAGATGTTTTTTTAAATGTTAGGAATTAGTGTATATCCCCCCACATTTTTTTTCTACTTCATTCTGAATTGGTTTGGATTTTACCGCATTATTTAACTATATGTTTTAAATTTGATGTTTCTGCCCATAGCACTCAAGACAACTAATTAATAAAATAACATACTAAATCTTATTAAAATAGTTAAAATCTGTTACAATCAAGTCATATTAAAAGGATCCTCTGGAATTCAGTGCAAAGTACTGATACCCGTTTTAGACTTTCTGGTAAACTTCTAAGAGAATACATATTTTTACAGCATATCCTGTTTTTTTTATTTCTGTATTGCATTTTAAACTGTGCAATGTTCTGGGGAATTTATATTTAATAATATTGTACACAATGTTTTAGATACTGCATAATAACTGTTGAAAAGAAAGACAAAAATTGTTTAAAATATTAATGCATATTTATGACTGTAAACCAGACATGTCAAACTCGCGACCTCACGTGACGTATCGAGACTGTTTTGCCATTGCTGGCAATGGGGTGGGTGCGGCTTCCAGATGATGCATCTGGCCCATGGGCTGGCAGTTTGACACCTGCTGTAAACTATTCATAATTTGGTGAAAAGAATACAATGCAACTTCTTTTTTAAAAAATATAACTATATTGTTCATAGCTCCTTTGAAAAGTTAGTCCTGAGAGTTGGGGAACTATTTGGAATGGGATATAGCATGTAGGATTGTGATAGTTTATGACTAGAAAAAAGAGTGAAGAAAAATTATTGTCCCATTAGCAATGACTAAAGTTACTAAGGAATCATCATTTGGTACACTTCCAATACAAGTAATGCTAAACGAGTATTTTTTTCTCCTTTTTTCCCCCAAGGTATGCTATTTCTATTGCTCGGAAAATTGGTGCTTGTATATATGCCTTACCGGATGACTTGGTAGAAGTGAAGCCAAAAATGGTCATGACAATGTTTGCATGTTTAATGGGAAGAGGATTAAACAAAATGAAATAAAGAACACTTTTTCTTTTTCTGCCATGATAAACGCATTGAATGCCTCATTGTTTACAGATTAGTATAAAGCAGATAATTTATATATATAAATGTGGAAAAGTCAGATTATTTAAAATGATTTTAGTTATCACTTGAAATGTGTATTACATCAGTATGTGAGCTAACATTGCTAACATGTTGCAATAATTGTAATTAACATTACTATATTCAGCAGCTTTTTAAATCTGTATATGATTTTTCTCAGTACAAAAATTCCCAAGATTGTAAAGTGCTATTTTAGGAAATACTATAAAATCAAAACTTTTGATTGATGAGATAAATTTCAATTGTTGCTCGCAAACATCTCTTGCTATGTTGTAAAATAAGGAGACAATGTTTTCAATAAAAGAGAATATATGTAGCTCAGGGTTGAACTGTGGAGTCCTTGGTCCTCTGTGAGTTTGGTTCTTTGTAGATGTTTCATTACCTGACTAGGTAACATCGTTAGCACTAGTAAGTATGGAATTTGCTCACTGTTTATATACAGTGTCAATATATATCCTGCCAGTATTGGTGGAAGTGTGATTTTCTCCATGGTAGTAGTTCCTGGATATCCTTATCAGCAGAGGAAATAACGACAAATTACAAACACAAGTCTATCAAAAACAATCCACACCAATCAAGCGCTCCATTACCAAAGTAACAACCTAACCTCCTACAATAGTTGCTGTGTAAGACCATTAATCAGAAGAATACAAACACTGCAGCAACAAAACACCAGAAAAAGGAAACACACAAGTTATGAAAACAACTCTACCACACATTGAAAACATCTCAGAAACAACTAATACTATATAACAGTGTTTCTCAACTTTGGTAACTTGAAGATGTGTGGACTGCAGTGTAGCCCAAGAATAAGCCTACATCATATAGTGTAAGGATCAAAACAACCACTATATAGGAGAGACAAACGGAGCAGATCTTATGAACACCAACCAGCAATCAGAAGACACAACGAAACTCCTTAATCTCACAATATATGGACAGACTCTGCTATAGTTCCAACTTGGAAACTGAGTATCCTAGATGAAACTAAATTCAAAAATACTAGAAAATTCCTCTGAGCTTGGTAGTCAGACAAATCAGCTATCAGAAATAAACCACATTGCTACACCATTCAAGAGATAATAAAAAAGCTAAGGAAACAAAAAGACCAGAAAACATCCTTTCCAGCAGCTGATACCCAGGTAAGCAGGAATTAACACCATATAAACAATGAAGCAGAAAACAATACCTTAATCAAGGAACTCCTTAAAAGAAAACTACACCAACAAACCAGTAGCAAAGCAAGCTACTATATATAAACGGAACAAAGTCCATACTAACACTGCTGATGTTACTTAGTCAGGTAATGAAATGTATACAAGCTAACAGCACCAAGGACTCCACAATGTTTTAAGCTGTAACAAATCTTGTATTTCAACTATGATTTAGGTATTGAAAAGAAAATGTTCCCTTACCAAAGCATATTTCTTTTATTATTTGCTGGTGTAAATTATAGTTAATTATTATGTGAATATCACTGTTCTTTAGACTTCTTGTTGGAAAACAACTTCACAGAGAGATCGTACAAACTGTAAATAAACCTTAAGCATTGATGAGGCCGGTATGGGAAGAATCAGTAAAATTTGCTCTGAAGAGAGAAAATATACTGTTTCAATCTCAAATCCCATTAGCATAGTCATGAAAAGAGCCATTTACAATGGCTCCAGAATAGTAACTTTTGTTAATTAAATTGTAAACTGTTTTCTATTTCAACTTTTCAGAAAAAGGAATTTATAGACAATATGGCAGTATGTTAGTTATCTTTATGAAGCAATCAGGAATGTGACAAAATGAAGATATTTTGATACAGAAAAGGAATTGGTGTATTCTCATAGCTGTGCTTGAATGCCTCTATTACTGTTAGGATAACCATTATACATTAGATGCAGGATTGTACTGGTAATAAACTAATTAAATATTGGGAATTAAAATGTTTTTAAATTTGTTACACTGATAGTTAAAATTTATTACTTGTGCTGTTGAATTTACAGATTCCATCTCTGAGATTTTTTTGTAGAAATGTTTCTTCTGTATTACAACTTGTACATTTTATATAAAAAAACAAAAAATACTATAAAAATCAAACTGTTAGGATTTGCAGTCTAAAATAAAATTAAAACATGTTTAATGATAGCAGGAAATAGTATGTATATTGTATTACTTGCAGTGTGTTTGTGTGTGTGAATACAAACATACATTTTAATAGAATACCAAATTAAAAATCAATAAAAAATAGCAAGTCTAATTTTGAACCAATCATAAATGCAAGTCTGCTGCCAAGCACCCGAAATACAACGTGACTATGGATACAGTGGCAAAACATCTTACAATGGCTAGAAGTGCTATATGGGCTGTAAAGCATTGTTCTTTTATAATTTCAAACAGTTGTTAATCACCTGGTCATAAGCTGAGGACTATTTGTATTAAGCAGTAGGAGACACTACAACCAGTTTTATCTTAATGGGATTCTTCAAGCTTAGCTATCCTTCATACTGGTATCCTTCATACTATTACTGGCCAATAGCTATTACAAAATCTAAAGCTATATAAGCTCAAATATAACCCCGCCATAAAGATCAAAATTTAAAACTTTTTCATCCTGAGAAAAGCCAGTTGCCAGCCTAACTCACAGAGGGAAAATCATTACCAGTATCTGCATGTTGTTCTAAACCAGGAGGAACAGACTTATAACAGACTGGTCAATACAAACATATGCTGCTGGTTTAAAGTGCTGGTTTTAACCATTAAAGCTCTCGGTGATCTAGGATCAGGTAACCTGGAAGAGCACCCAATCCTATGTATACCTACCTGGTCTGTTAATGAGGACCTTCTCTAGGTCCATCAACCAGTATTTCTCAGCTTTGGGAACTTGAAGGTATGTGGACTTCAACTCCCAGAATTATATTTTCCCCAAAGAATTTAATCTTCTTAAATGTAGTTTTGGAATTTTCACCAAAGGAAGGAGCACAGTGCAGGAGAGAAATGGCTAAATTTTATTCAATGATAACGGCTTTGTAAGAAATGGGGATCCTGAACAATAGAAAGACAGATGGTTATACATTTTGGGATTGAAGAGTGAAAAATCTAAATGAGATGAGTCATGGACACATTTTGAGCAAATGAGATAAATGTTTAAACAAAGAAAAATGTATTTTTCTATTGTAAAGCAAAGCTGCTAAGCATTTCATTGTTAATAGGATGGAATATTGAGACAAGCATCCACACTTCATTGAGATGGAATATCCATGGCTTCCTAGATGATATGATTAAAAGGTTATATTGGTAGCAGAAACATAGCCATGTTTGAGTTATGTATGATCCTAGAGCTGATCTAGTTTACGTATGCAAGTGAGATGGGGAAAGGACAGTAGAGGGAAATGGGGAAAGAATTTGCAACAGGAGAGGTGGGGGTAGGCAGAAAGTAGTGCCAAAAAAAAGGTTGGGGGAGAGTTCGGAGAATTTGCAGCTTTATTATTTTTAATTTTTTTAACACAATTGCCTTTTCCTGCTTTCTACTAGTAACTATTTATGAATGGCCAAAATTCTTGCAAAGAAGCCTGGTTTAGAAGGAGCAGAAACAATGGTTACAAAGTAAAGAAGGAAGAAGAAGAGTAGGGAAATGCCAATGAAAAACAAGGCCTTTTAGGCAAAAAAAATCTATTTATTCTAACCAACCATCAAACCAGTTAGTGAAGGAATTGAAATCCAGGATAGTATCCTGGCTGACATTGTGGAAGAGACGAATTACCTGTTCGATTGGGAGTAATGGAAATGAGAAGAAAAAAAGGAAAGAAGGAAAAAACAACAAAGCATTAGTTTAAGAGTGTTCACACTTATGCAGCCATGTTATTGTACATTTTTATTGTTATTCCTTCCCCCTAAAAGATTTCAGTTTGTTTTTCAATTGAATTGTACAGTTTATATGTTAACGATGGGAAAAAACCTGAAATGATTTATCTTGGTCTGATTTTATCAATAGCAATACCACTTAAACTTATATACCATCCCATACTGGGCAGTTTACAACATTCTCTGGGCAGTTTACAATGTCAGCATATTCCCCCGAAGAATCTGCGTCCTCATTTTACCGACCTCAGAAGGATGGAAGTCTGAGTCAACCTTGAACTGGTCAGGACTGAACTCCTAGCTGTGGGCAAAGTTTGCCTACGATTCTCCTTTTCTACTCTGCTACTAGTTAGAGATTTTTTACATCTCAAATACCTGGCATTTTAATGGTGTATAGCACTACAGCTGGACTCACCCTCAAGATGCTAGTTGGGTTTGCTTCTTTCCAAACCATTCTCTCTTGCTCCTGCCACATTCTTAGAAGAGAAACCAATAGAGCTCTTACTCTCAATCCCTGAATTTCATTACTAGAGTTTGCAGATCCTGTCATTGTCATCTATGAAAGTAGTGTCATCCTCACAGTGCAGGTCAGGGATGTTTCTTCTTCCAATTTTACAACAAAGCTCATCTTCTGTCCAACTTCCTTTAATGTCTGTTCAGCATATAAACTGAATAAATAAGGGGAGAATATACAGTCTTGCCTCGTGCCTTGGCAAATCTGGAGGCAGTCTGTTTTGCTATATTCTGTCCATATTGTAGTTTCCTAACCTGAATAAAAGTTTCTCATGAGGACAATGAAATGTTCTAGGATTACCAATTTTTTAAACTTAATATGACTAATACAGTTGAAGGCCTTTCAATATCAATTAAGCATATTATTTTTGGGGTTGGGTTGGGTTTCTCGATTATCCAGTGTGCACCAGCAATAATGTCTCATGTTCCTCATACTATTCTAAAGCAAGCTTGAACATCTGGCATCTCTTTGTCATGCAGGGCTTTATTCTGCATTGCATGATCTTTACTAGCATGTGACATTAAGGATATTTAATGATAGTTTGCACACTGTTAAATCTCCTTTTCTTTGGTATTGGAATGTACAGTAGATTGACCTCTTCTGATCTGTTTACCAAATCTGTATCCTTCTCTAAATTTGCCAGCACAGCTTGGTTAGAACCTTTTCCGATTTTTATTTTTTTGCTTGCCATATTTCTGTGCTGCCTCGGACTGAGGGACAAAATTAAATTCCACTATATTCAATCTCCCATTAATGCTCTGCTCAAAGTCATATACACTGTAGAAATCAATAAAGGCTTGAAGGTTGGATGGGACTTGACAGGGAAAAAGAGAAGTAGTTAATGACCGCCTTGAGTATGGGCATGGATCCTAGAGGAAATTCTAAGCCAGCGGTTCTCAACCTATGGGTCGCGACCCCATTTGGGGTCGATCGACCATTTCACGGGGGTCGCCAAGCAAGGCTGTCCGCCATTTTTCCCCCTTTTCCGGCGGGTGCCTTACCTCCCTTGAGCTGGGCCAGCTGGTGGTCGGCCTGCTCCGTCTCTGCCGCTTGCCAGCTACGCCTCGGCCGGCGCAGGGGGCAGAACCACGCATGCGCGGCGCTCCCGGGCAGGGAAAGTCCTCAACTTACGACCGGTTGGGTAGTCCTTGACTTACGACCGGTTTAGTCCTCGACTTACGACCGGTTTAGTCCTCGACTTACGACCGGTTGGGTAGTCCTTGACTTACGACCGGTTTAGTCCTCGACTTACGACCGGTTTAGTCCTCGACTTACGACTGGTTGGGGTCGCAGGCATTAAAAAGGTTGAGAACCACTGTGCTAAGCAAACTGAAAATAGGACCTGCTTTTCGGTTCAAGTTTATATTTTTTCCCACTTACAATTTGATTACTCCATTGTGCCGTGCATTGCGAACGACTAACGTGGTCTCTGGCTGCTCTCCTCTTTTGCCGTCCGGGGCAACCAACGGCATAGAAACCGCTCGCTTGCTCGTCTCCAATGGGACGAGCGGCCGTTTAACGGTCTTCGGCGGCGGAAAATCAGCACGAAAACGCGTTTTGCGCCTGCGCGCGCGGAGCCTTCGGTCGCTGGCGCTCGCGTTTGACAGCTGGGCGTCGTTCGCTCTCCCTTCGGCTGGCACGTGAGGAGCGGCTCGTTGGAGTGCATCCCAGCGGGGTTGCAGGCCTGGGGGACGAGGAGGAGGAGGAGGAGGAGGAGGAAGAAGAAGGTGGCTTTGCAGAGCGGCCTCTCCGATGACCCTGAGTTTACTGCGGGGCCGGCGCTATGGCTGCTCTATACCAGAGTGCAGACCCATCGGCCTCGGCTTCCCCGAACAAGCTGCTGGCGTTGAAGGACGTCCGGCAGGTGAAGGAGGAGACCACCCTGGACGAAAAGCTCTTCCTGCTGGCCTGCGACAAAGGTAGGCTTCAGCCTTTTGCTTTTCTCCTTCATTTCTTTCTTTCGACTCGCATTATCAACCAGGAGCGGGCCTTCATCAATGAATCCGCCCAGCATCCAAGCGGGCAGCGCCGGAAGAGGCCGGGGTTTTGCTCCTTATTCCTGAATGTATCTAGGTACAGGGGTAGTCAACCTTGGCTCTTTTATGACTCGTGGACTTCAACTCCCAGAATTCCTGAGCCAGCTAAGCTGGCTCAGGAATTCTGGGAGTTGAAGTCCACGAGTCATAAAAGAGCCAAGGTTGACTACCCCTGATCTAGGAGGAGAAACTCAATCCGAATAATCAGACTGTGATTCGTAAAAAGGGGTAGCGCTCTGATTCTGACCCACCGAGTAATGTACATTCCTTGTAATGACCAAGAACAATAGCAAAAGGCGTCTAAAGTTCCCATCTTTTCCTCCCTTCCCTTTTATGGGAATGTGCGTCTGTTAGCTTTGTTGATGAAGGGTCTTAAGCTAAAAAGCCCAAAGTAATTATTAGACTGTCAAGCAACCCTGTTCTAACGTGTAGTTTTATTTGGTTATTTTCAGCTTTTGACCATTCTTCTTTATTTCTATATTTTAAAGGGGGAAGAGGGTAGTTTTCAGGGAATGCTTGCTTTTTAAATCAAAATTTGCATATGTCTGTCTTGCCAAAGAATTTAATAAATATTAAAGAAAGTCATTACCCAATGAAAATCTAAATTGCTAAAATAGGTTTTTGTATATTATTGGTTTAGGTGATTATTACATGGTGAAGAAGCTTTTAGAAGAGAATAGTACTGGTGAGCTGAACATAAATTGTGTGGATGTACTTGGGAGAAATGCTATTACAATAACTATTGAAAATGAGAATCTAGACATTCTACAGCTTCTGTTGGATTATGGCTGTCAGGTACTATTAATAACATAAGTATAAATTTCAAATTTCTATTTTTTTTGCCCTTAGAACATTGTCATTTTGTAATTTAACAATGTATATTTTCTTCCATGGTCTGAAAATTGCTATTATTTGTGCTTTAATTTTCTTCAGTCTACAGATGCATTATTGGTGGCCATTGACTCAGAAGTTGTGGGAGCTGTTGATATATTACTTAATCATCGACCAAAGCGATCCAGTAGACCAACAATTGTTGTTAGTATTACTTTAATTCTGTGTTTGAGAGTGCATCTCATGATGTCAAATCTTCAAGCATGTATTTGATAATGGGAAAAGTTTGATCTTGACCACTTTGGAGAGCAATTGAAAAGTTTTTGATTATACATCTGAAAAAGGGCATATATATTCATTATTTCTAATTATTTATTAGATTTATATTCAGGAACTCATGGACATATATAGCACTCTGCCACTCACTTTTCCCCACAACAACAATCCTGTGGTCTTCTATGGCTGAGGCTGGACTTGAAGCTATTTTACTGATTATTTATAAAGGATAAACATTTTAAAAGTATTAGTTTAACCTTTGTGGCATCCTGCTGCTTGAATTTAAATAATGAAATTTTTCACACTTATGGCCGTTGTAGCATCCCATGGTCTTGTGATCAAAATTCAGACACTTGGCAAGTGAATCAAATTTATGACGGTTGCAATGTCCCGGTGTCTTATGATCATCTTTTGCAACCTTTTAACAAGCAAAGTCAATGGGGAAGCCAAATTCACTCAACAACTGTGGCAAGAAAGGTTGTAAAATGGTGCATTATTCACTTAACAAACGTCTCACTTAATGACAGAACTTTTTGGCTCAATTGTGGTTGTAAGTCAAGGACTACCTATATACATTATAAAAGGGAATAATTCTAATACTAGTTTTTATAAACATTACTAAAAAGGTAAGAATTGTTACAGTATGTAAATTTAATAGTGTAATTGTTATCTTCAATACATCCCACAAGGTCTTTTCTATTACAGTTTTTTTAATATTGGGATAATCACTAGAAGTAACTCATCAAATTATCACGTACACATTGATCCATTTTTTTTAATGTTATCACTTTAAGTACTATTGTATAAATGTGTGTCTGCAACTTTGGATGCTTAAGAAGGAGGAACACATAAGAAGCATAACTGAGTTTATCCATTCTGCTTCTTAGTGCCCTACCCCTAGAAATAAGAGGAATAGCATATGTACTTTAGAGCCATATATACATTTTTCATTTTAGGAAATAATTCTTCATGGAACAAAATGTATTTAATTAACATTTGTCAGTCAATGCATCCAGTTTAGTAATTTTGAAATTAAAAATATTTAAGATCTTAAAATATATATTTTGATTTCAAATCAGATGCCTTAGATTTCATCTCTGCATTAGTAATTCATCAAGCTTAACTTATTTTCTCAGACTTCTGTCTGTTTGTTGCAGAAATTAATGGAACGTATTCAGAATCCAGAATACTCAACAACTATGGATGTGGCACCTGTCATTTTAGCTGCTCACCGTAACAACTATGAAATTCTTACAATGCTCTTAAAACAGGATGTGTCGCTACCCAAACCTCATGCTGTGGGGTGTGAATGTACATTGTGTACAGCCAAGAACAAAAAAGATAGTCTACGACACTCCAGGTTACAATAATTTGATCTTCATCAGTACCTGTAATTTTTCCACCATTTTTAAAGTAATAATCATGAAGGTGTTTAGTTTATATTTTAGAATAAAATGAATGCTCATGACAAGGTTATATTTGATGGTGTGTATAGATTTGCATGTATAAGATGTTAGATTTAATCTCTGCTATCTTAGTAGAATTGGGAAAAATATTTGGATGATTGCTTATGGTCATTATATAGTAGTGAACACAATGGTTTAGCGACCTCACTGGTGGTAAATTAGTTTCCTACTATATACCTAGTAGTCCTGGAAAGAGACTTTTGTAAACAAGGAACTATTTTTTCTTCTACGTTACTATAAATTGCTAATATGTAAGCAGTTTAAAACATTATTAATAAAAACAGATAAAACAATTCATTAATGTGGATTAAAATAGCAGACCAATATTTGCTTTCACTGCTTTCCTAAAACATAAAACTCAGGGGCCAATATAATATTGGGTGGAAAGTGTTCCATAAATATGCATATCCTATTCCCAAATAGATTGCAGCTGAGATTCTATTTGGAGAAGGCAGCTCTGAAATTAATTGGAAGCTTAATCATGTAGGGTTTTACAGTATAGGTCAAAACCAGCATTTTGAATTGTACTTGGGAATTTACTGGTAGCATTAGAACAACTTTTGTTTCTTAACTGTAGTGGCCTACACCAGGCAGCAGGCAAAGAGTTATATTCTGTAGCTATAGCTTACATACCAACTGTAGCTCCTGGGTGGTCTCCAAAGGCAGCCCAAAATTGAATGCATTGCAGTATTCCACTTTATACATGATAAGGGCATAATACATTGTTGCAAAGGCTTCCTTCTGCCCAGAATTGGCACAAAAACAGAAGCTGAGATAAAAGTCCCTTTGGCCAAAACTTCAAGCTATTCATCAAGCAGAAACTGAATCCAGAAAGATACCCAGTTATTGACCTGCTTTTTCAGGGACAGTGACATTGCACCTAGAATCAAACAGGAGTTGAAATTAAATCAGATTGTCAAGACAGGAAAAGTATCTCTATTGTTTAAGGAATATTTGCACATCTAGTTGCACAACATCTATTTGCTATCGGCATCTAGTTGCTCAGAATCTCCAGTGTAGATAATAACAACATTTTTATTATTATTATGAAATTACAATGGTGGATATAATATCCCAATTTGGCAAAGTTGTTTTGAGTAGGATTAATGGGTTTGCGTGTTTTGAGAATTTTAATCTAAAACAATTCTCTTTTGAACAATAATGGATAGCAGTACATCTTATAATCAAGACTTTAATTAATTTTGTTATCAGTATTTAAACTAAAAACATCTAAAAACTTTCTTACAACACGTGCTTTGGAGAAAATTCTTTTGCTTATTAATAATGATATATGTTAGATTTCTAAAATAGGTTTCATATACTGTAAATGATGAGTTGAAATGTTTAATCAAATAAAAACTGTTTGTCTTAAGATGTGTTCTTTAACATTGCACCACAGATTTCGTCTTGATATTTATCGATGTTTGGCTAGTCCTGCCTTAATAATGTTGACAGAAGAGGATCCAATTCTGAGAGCCTTTGAACTTAGTGCAGACTTAAGAGAATTAAGTCTTGTAGAAGTTGAATTCAGGTATGATAATATGTATTACTATTGTAATTTCAGCAGCATGATATAATTAGATGCAGGCATATCACAAGTGAGTCTGACTAACAATACTATATACATGCTGAAACAGAAAATTCCTAAAGCAAACTCATTAATGTTTACTGAGAAATAAGTCATACATTCTATAGCTCTTATTCCTAGACAAACATACTGAGAATAAATAATATAAATAATGTTGTTACTAAGGAACAAGAACTAAATACAAATATTTCATGAAGAATAACTTGTTTTAAGCTAAGACCATAGATTTGCAATTAACTTAGAAGGTACTACATATATTTCAAAGATTTATAGCAAATGTCTAGTTAAGGGCAAAATCTACACAGGATTGTGCTGTGTTTCTTTTTTGGTTCAAACATAATTACTCTGGTTATATATCAGAGATCACAGTGACAAAATACCTGTTGCCAAGAAAAATATAAGGTTGCATTCATGAATATTTTATTCTCTATATTGATAACATAACTTCATTCTACATGGCAATGAAATGATTTTTTTTAAATTTTTAGAACAAACAATCCATATGCATCACTGAAGCCTTAAAAAGATAATGTCTTCTTCAAGTCAGGCTTGATTCCTGATGCCTTTATGAATATTAGCCTAAAGCTCATTTCTTGGTGGTATCATCCAAATACTAAGCTTCTAAATTTAATAAAAATCAACATAGCACTGTTGCTATCCCTAATATTTATTTCATTTTATTAATTTGTTTTTACAGTATTTATAATCTATTTCAGTTCTAACAAAGGGTACAATAAAACTCCATGCCCAAATACATTAAAATGTATATGATAAAAATCAGCCATAAACCTAGTAAATGAAATATGTCTTTAAGGGATATTTAATGACCATGTAGCTAAATTATTTAAATTATTCATTTCTTATGAATGGATGGCAAGATATATAGCATTCCCTCTTCCAGTTTTCCCCATAGCTAAAGTCATCTATATCTGAGGGATTTGAACCTGAATCCCTGGCCCTAGTGCAGCACCTTAACCATTTTTATTTTTTAAACGTTTGTCCTTTTTTAGTGACTGAATAATTTATTTGAATCAACTTGATTTTAGTTTATTCCAGTCTGGTATCCAATTTTGTTCAGGAAGGACCTTTATTCTTCTTTTTTGTTTGTATTAGTATTAGGTTAAATTAAATCTAATTAGCATTGAATTATAATAAATTAGCATTAGAAGTAAGTTTTGTTACTTTGTGTATTTCCTAGAAATGATTATGGAGAACTGGCCCAGCAATGCAAAACTTTTGCTAAAGATTTGCTTGCTCAGGCACGGAATTCCCGGGAGCTTGAAGTTATATTGAATCATACTGCAAGTGATGAACATGTGGATAAACGAGGATTACTAGAAGAGAGAATGAATTTGAGTCGCCTAAAGCTTGCCATTAAGTATAACCAAAAGGAAGTATGTCAGTTTTGATTTATTAAATATAGAATCCTGTAATAAATAGATGGGATAAAACAGATACGTATCTTAATAAGTTTTCAACTTCTGATAATTAGAAAAAATGTAGTACTAATTCAATACAATCTATTAAATTTCTATAGGAAGTCCTTGACTTATAACCTTTTGTTTAGTGATCGTATGAAAAAGCACTGAAAAAAGTGATGTAGGACCAGTCCTCACACGTACAGTAGTGGCCAAAATTATGGAAACCTTTTGGGAAAAGTGTACAGTAGAAGTGCCACCTTTGGTTAAGTTTCCACCAATTTTTCTTCTAATTTCTTTATAACTGTAGCCTTGTTCACTTAATAATACTATTTTACATCGCTCTCTGGGCAACCAGTCAACTCTTTGCACCATTACTTTAATTTTATTATATTTTACAAGCTCACTAAATGAAAGAACACAACCCCCCCCAACCAACTTGATAGCGATCACATAACATCCTGACAAATGTCCTCCTCTCAGCTTCAATACATGACATCAATAACTGAACCCTACTGTGATCTGATTGGCTCATTGCCAAAACAAGATGACACCTGATTGACTCTCTAAACACTCATGTTCATTGGCTACAATCAGATGAAGGAAAGCTACCTGATATCAACCTAAGCAAGTTGTGCTTCCTTTTTCTGGTTATTTGGCTATAACTTTTCATAAAATACAGTACAGATAATTGAACAAACTTTGTTCCATTACATTCTTGATTAAATTATCTTTCCATTGATATATAATTTTATGGTACTACTCCCAAAAAAGTGATGTTATTAGCCATCAAACCTCAAAAATACACTTTTCCCAAAAGGTTTCCACAATTTTGGCCACTACAGCATCCCTGTAGTCACATGATCAAAACTTGGGCTCTTGGTAGCGGCATATATTTATAATTATGTGATCACCATTTGTGACATTACCAACCTGCTTCCAAGAAGCAAAATCAGTGGCGGAAGCCAAATTCACTTAATAACCATGTGATTCACTTAACAACCATGGCAAAAAATATTTAAATTGGGCACAACTCAACAATTGCCTTGCCAAGCAATGTAATTTCTGGTCTTAACTATGGTTGGAAGTCAATGGCTATCTGTGATATATACATAGGATATAAAATAGCCTAGTACAATGCCTTTTTCTATAAGACAATAGTTAATGTATTTGTGGGGCAAGATCCTGAGTGGCAAGGAAGAATTAATGCCATATTAGTATGAGTTCCTTATTACAGCTCAGTAGATTCACTGGTTTTGCTGCTCTGGTTCTTACTTCATACATCTGATGTGACACAGTGTTTTGAATTTTACTTGATCCAATTTCTGTTGGCTGGCATTATATAATGATACTGTAGTTGCTGAAGTTAATTGCCTCTATAAAATATGTTGCAAGGTTTTGTGCAGGAGATGACTGGCGCTAATGTAAACAATACTTTCATATTGCTGTTTTTCACGTTGCCATTTTTGAAGTTTAATTTCTTGTACAGCATTCCCAGTCATATTTTTATTATTATTATTCCAATTATTCATAGCTGAAAGTAACTATTTTTTACAATCCTCTTGTTTCTTATGTTGGATTTAAAAACCATATGTTGCCAGTTTATAAACCTGGCAAGGCTCTAGTACTTTGTATGTCTATGTATGTGTATTTAAAGAGCATTACTCTGTAAAATGGAAAATCTGTTTTATATTGTTCTGTGAAAGCACAGCCCAAAATAATGGATGTTATGAAATCTGGTTGCTATAATAGTTAAGATTTTAAATATTTTATTGTGTGTCATGCTAGTCAGTCCAACAAAAACAGCATTGCACTGTCACATTACAAGTCTTACCTTTTGTATATGTATATTCTGATGTGACATAAAAAATATGGTCAAAAGAGGTGGAGCTTATAGTACAAGGCAGCCTTCATCACCAGTTCAGTAGTTGGGGCTGTGGACACCACACAAACATTTTTTACAGTTAATCTAGCATTAGCAATACTAAAACAATAAAATGAGAAAGATTGTGTATATGCTTTAAACATACAATGAAGTTTAATTAACTGATTATTCTTAATTATATAGAATTTACATGTTTAAAATGAATTTACCCTCCAGTTCTATTATTGCAGCTAATTACTTCTGCCTACTTTTGTTATTCTTTTAAACCAAGAATGTAAATCATTAGTTCCTTTAGAAAGTGCTTATTCATGTAAAATATTTTTCTATTACAGTTTGTTTCTCAATCTAATTGCCAGCAGTTTCTCAATACTGTCTGGTTTGGACAAATGGCTGGTTATCGCCGCAAGCATACATTTAAGAAGATTTTGACAGTCTTGACAGTTGGCATCTTTTGGCCTCTACTATCTTTTTGCTATTTACTGGCACCAAAATCTCAAATAGGCAGAATAATTCATACTCCTTTTATGAAATTTATCATTCATGGCGCTTCTTATTTTACATTTCTGTTATTGCTTAATCTGTATTCACTTGTCTACAATGAAGATAAGAAAAACACAATGGGACCAGCATTGGAGAGAATAGACTATCTTCTAATACTGTGGCTCATTGGTAAGTATAAAGAATATGAAATGGTTAAAATTCTGACTTTGTCAATGGATACATTTTGGAACCAGCCATCTGATATGATAGTAGAGCCAGCAGTGGAATAGAAACTATTTCTCAATATCATTGCATTTTCAGTCTGTGTAAAGTATGCAGAATTTTGAAAAGTATATTAGCAGAAGCAAAACAACCCTCCTCAAAGCATTAAGCAGCTATGGAAGAACTTTTTAAATGTGTGCTTGTGTGCACATGGAGACTGCTTCTGTTGAAACTGCCAGCAAAATAGCTATACATGCAGATACATGTACAGACTGTAGGGGACAGTCTTTGAAACAGCCATGCAAGCTTTCCAAAGGATGTGCCTGCTTTCATGTGTCACATGAAATGATAGGTTATTTTGTTTGCCTTAATCTGCTTTGTAAAATGCTTTTTCCTAATATTTTGCACTACTCATTGCTGTTTAAAGTAAATGTACCAGCCTTTGGTCTGATTTTCTTTATATCAATAAAATTGCAAATCATATTTTGGTCCCCTAAGACTGATATAATTTTATAAAATAATAATTGCTTGATACATTTGGTATATTCATTTTCTCTATGTAGCTGTGGTTACAAGCATTTGATAACCCTAAAGAAGTAACATTTTTTATTGTGGTTACCTGTTAAGATTAAAAATATCTTCAGACATCTACTACTGAAAGAGCAATATTAGGAAGTCATGTCAGTTACAGAAATGCTATTTTTCATGGTAAAATGTGAAGAGATCTGTAATCCTTAAACATTACTTCTTTTTAATCACGCTATGATGACATTGGAAAAAAATATACTGTAAATGTAGAGGAGTGCCCAGAAGTAAATAAATCCACAAAACTAAGCTATTACAGCACAGAATGGGACAACTTGCCACAGCCAACTTGTGGCCAACTCGCTGCAGGACAATTCAACAAATGCAAAAGTTAAATTAATTTCAACAGAACTGTGGCCAATAATAATAAAATAAAGACAATCCAGAAATACAAGAGTTACAATACTTTTGATGAAAACATGATTACCAATAATAAAAGTAACTGAATGAAATGATTAATATAACATTGAATTGTCTGAGGGTGAATTGTCCTATGGCGAGTTGGCTGTGGTAAGTTGCCCCGCAGGAGTTGGCTGAGGTGAGTTGGCCATGGCAATTTGGCCATGGCAAGTTGTCCTAGACCAGAGGTCCCCAACCCTTGGGGCACCAGGGAATGGTTCCATGAAGAGAGATTTTTACACAGACGAGAGGGTGCATGGTTTTGTGTGCTGCCTGCATCTTGCTTTGCTTTTTTGTGCGGACTGGTTGCTGGCATGCCGCAGCCCAGTACTGGTCCATTGACCGGGGGTTGAGGACTCCATCCGAGACCATGGGTGTCAAACTCACTGCATCATGTGACATGTTGCAACATATCATGACTTTTTCACATTGCCGGACCAGGGGTGGGCACAGCCTCAGCATGATGCAACTGGCCCATGGGCCAGCAGTTTGACACCCCTGTCCTGGACCCATTACAGCATGACCTATGGAGCACTTTATAATGAGCCACATATAATGGTTCAGCTTATTGTCACATTTATATTAGTTCAATGTTCTGGCCTGTAGGAATATTCAGCATTTTAAAAATAGGCCAGTGAACAAATGGCTGCTGTGGTAATGAGGCTTATCACAAGATGATATGAATTCTTTTGTTAAGTTGTGCTTGACAGTGGCTAAATAGTTTGCCATTTTTTTTTGTACCAGATTTAAGTTAGCATATTGTGCAAACATATTGTTCTCAACATTTAAGGAGTTTTACCTCCAATACTAATATATTACAAAAAGTTTTCATTGGTTTAACAGTTGGAAAAAAAGCTGTTGAAAAATAACTAGGGAGGAGACAAAACCCAAACATATTCTCAACAATTTTGTCTTATCCTAAAGCAATATTGTATAATATTTTTATTAAATATAATTACATGTTTATAGTGGAAAACTTTTATAAGGTAACTGATTTTTATTTGGAATATACTGAATATTAATTAGTTCAGTTTTGGTATTGTTTTATCATATTTTATAATACTGTAATCTGTGTTTGTCACTAAAAACTCCTTGGAATGAGTAGTTTTTTATTAGACTGATCTTTCAGTTATTTAAAATTATAGCTAGACAATACTGAGATTGAACACCCTTTTTCTTTTCTAAGGAATGGTATGGTCAGATGTTAAAAGACTTTGGTATGATGGATTGGAAGACTTTTTAGAAGAATCACGAAATCAACTTAGTTTTGTCATGAATTCTTTGTATTTGGCAACTTTTGCTCTCAAAGTAGTTGCTCATAATAAGGTAAACAATCATTCTTATGTTAACATGAGTATTAAGTTGTATTTTTCAACAACTGAAGTCTTAAGACATTCATTCTTAAAATGTCTGTATATATTTAATGCTGCTACAGAAAGTAGGCATTTTATTTATGCATTTATGTGTTTATTATTTAAATTTATTGGCTGCTCATTTCCAGTGGACTCTGGAAAAACACAAAACTAAAAGAGACATAAAAACAACTAAAAATGTTAAATTAATGTAAAGAGCTTTCAGTATTTCTTGTCTGTTTTTTGTTGTTTGCTAAAATTCTTTTGGGGATAACTACAGAATATATGAATAAAATACATTTTATACAATGTCAGATAACAGGAATAGTACAATACTGTTCAAAGATATATCTGGAATTATCATACTAGCTTTAATACGTCATGGGTATTATGCATATACTGTATTATCAAAATTAATTAGAAATAACCTTCTAAATG